CAATGAACACCCCACCTAGCATCCTACCACTTCTAAGCAGAATTCCAAAAATCACCCACCATTTCCCATGCAGAAATAAATGGTGTTACTTTTGGGTGCATTTCAATCTTTTCCTTTTCTTCTATACAAAAAATTATCTTAGTCTAATTTGGGTCATACTGCATGTACAATTCTTTACATGAATTGTTTGGGCATTTATAAAGCTCTTGACTTCTGCGGTCAAGTTACCTATCAAGAAGGGCAGGCCACCATAAACCCCTGCTGCTAGACTAATGCACCGTGTTGACTGCTCTGTTATTTTTCTTCTGTTTCCATGCTGACTTTTGTGGGAATTTAGATATTTGAAAATCATCAAATCTCTTTTCAAGGTATCTTATGAATTCCTTTGATTCTGTCTCAACTGCTCCATTTATGCAATGCATGCAAACTAAAATAACTTTAGCATCAGGCTGAATAAAATGATCTTTTATTTAGACTTTAAGTTTTCTTAAGAAAAATGTTTCCACTTACCTACCAACAATGAAGAGAAAATACATGATATTTTGCTATGTCTTCCGCAATAGCCATAACACTGGTGGCCAAGGGAGGTCACTGGCGTCTCACTGGGCCTGAGGATACTAATTTCGAATTTTAAAAGCTTTTTGCGTGCCAGGTGCATGCGTGCGTGAGTGACGGTGGATCGGCTCCACCCAGCTGGCTCCAGCGACTCTGAGGGCCAATGGCAGACAGGGGCGCACTTCACCTTCTGATCGTTTGCTCTGTTATTTTGATCCCTCATCTATGCACTTTTTTCTATGAGGCCCACATTGCTGGAGGTAACAGCGTTCTTTGCGTTCACACCATGACATGGATAGAAAGTCGCATGAGGGAAGCAGGCTCAAAGGTCTAGAGCAGAAGAGAAGTCACAATCTCCAGGAGACGGCGGCCGGGTGCCAGACAGTGCCACTCAAGGCTGACACCCCAGGGTGGTCCCTGGGAATGACACCAGTGACTCAATTTGTCTGAACAGCTCTTTACCAGGGAGTCCCTAGCACAGGTGGTGCGTTTGAGCTATTCCAAGACAGTGTTAGGTGCTTATAGTTGCCAGCCAGCAGCCAGGACAAGAAGGATTGGCATGCACTCAGGGTGGGCGTTTTCCTGGGTTGGCTCCATGCGTGGCCCCTTCGGTGGGCCTTGGACTAGGAGAAGAAGGACAGGGTGGGGAGGAGGCCAGGCAGCGGTTCAGACAGCAGGAGAAGTGAGACCTAGAAGCCCAGCCTGGTGCAGAGCACAAACGTGTGCATGTCAGTGAAAACAGAGATGTGACTGGCTTTCCCAGAGAGGAAGCGGGCGTGGTTGGCTTAAGTCAGTGGCTCTGCCCTTCCTGATTCTTAAAGGGCCTTGGCCCTAAGAAGGCTAACAGCCAATCTCTGAGAAGCCTGGTATTTCTTCATTCATGCATTCAATGAACAAGCGTTTACTGAGCACCTTCTGTCTCTGAAGTCAGGAGCCTCGACAGAGTGAAAAGAACCTCTCTCGGCCCCAGAGGCGCTCATGGAGACTCATTTGACCCAGGGACATGTCGTCACCAAAAACTGAAAAGTTATTGCCCACAAAGCTCACCACATTATCATATGAATTGTCATAATGTCCTGTAAAGAAGACTGGAACTCATTTCTCCGGTATAAAATATCAATCCATGGAGTGTAAGTCACCCTTGAGTAAAGGCTCCGCAGTTTTCTTGCCAAGGTCACTCAGTACCAAGGGACTTGGAAGCCATCAGTCAGTAATCTGGAAGAGTGGTTTGGGCTGAGTGCCACGGAACTATGGTTGCAAGACGTGATCCTGACCACAGCGAGGCAGAAAAGATTCTATCACAATGACCAGGGGACACCACTTCCTGTGTTGGTGTAGAGACAGAGATTTCGAACTATTTCCTAACTTGCCCTCGTCCCCCAGCCTGGTGTTGGAAGTCTGCTCCTGGCAAGGAAACTGCAGCTGAGGGTAGCCGAGGGGCACAGTAGGGCCAGACTAGAGGGGGCAAGAAAGGGGTAAAATGTCCTCCTGGAGTCCCTCCCACTTTCTTGTGTGTGCGAGGCTGCCCCTCACTCGCTGCACCTAGTCCTGGCCTTGAGGAAGAGTTGCAATGTAAACTAATAATGGGCACAGAAGGGTTGGGCCGCATCGTCTTTCACCTTCTTCAAGGGAAGCTTTTGTTGTTTAGGCTGGAGACACCACATGTGAAACTGAACCAAGAACCCAGCGATGCTTGCATTTGGCTTGTGTTAGCCCAGAAGAAAGGATGCGAAAACTGCCATGCTCTTTCACTTGGAAGAAAACTTTTCTGCTGTATGCTGTTCAGCATAGCCTTCGTGCCTACTCCAGTATGCTACCTCACGATAAAGGAATCACTTTACAGTCAAAACGACAGAGATTTTTCCAGCGCTAGCATGGGGCCTCCTCAGGAAACCAGCCTCACCATGGCCAGGTATTGTTCTCAGCAATAAAAGGCACCGGCACTGCGCTATTTTC